AGTGCCCCAATAGCAACTGTATTATTGCTTTGACCCCAAAACAAGAACTATTTTTTTACTTATTTTTGTTTTTATTATTTTTGATTTTTTGATGGTTTACAAAACTATTCGTAATGATTTATCAAACAAGAACTATTCTTAAAGCAAAGAAAAAACACCACACAAGATATGATGAAAGGTAGGAAGAGCATCAAGCACAGCATCAAGCTTATACCTTGAGGCCAAATGACAAAAATGAAAATGAAAGGTGAAAAAGATTTTCTTGCTTGAAAACAGTTGGAAACTAAGAAAAACAGAACAAAAATATCTACCAGGCTATTATCTGCAGATATTTGCAAACATCTGCAACAGCTATAATTAATTATCCAATTAGAGGGATTTCTGTCAGAGTTCATATATCATGCTTTTAAGTAATTAGTCCCATGTCAGATAAGGAAGATGGGAAAGTTGAGGAGAATAGGGATAAAAACACTTCTTGAGATGTTCTTCCTTTCTTTTTTTTTGGTTTGGTTTTTAGGTCACACCTGGCAGTGCTCAGGGATTACTCCTGCATTCAAGGATTACTCCTGCTGGTGCTGGGGATCTTATGGGGTGCCAGGTTCGAATCCAGGATAGCCTCATGCAAGGCAAACTGGCTGGCTTTACTATCTCTTAGCCATCACAGATTAAGTTCTTTCTAAAAACATCATTCTGATCTGAAACCCCAGTATATTTATTTACAGAAATCCTATGTCCCTGAGCTCCCTGCATATTATAGAAAGCAAGCTACCAACTATTCTTGAGAGAGAAAAATTGTTAGCTATTGTTAGGCTCTGTTGGGCCCTACAAAGTAGACTTAATTAGCTATCAACTAAACAGAGAGAATGACCTGCATTTCAAAGATAGCGGCATAGAGAGAAGTCTCAGATCCTGTATGGTTACAAGTTTCTACAATATGGCTCTAAACTGTGCAGAATTGTATAGTAATCTAGAAAACAGACCATCTTGATTAAATAAACTCAGCTAAATTTTAAAAAAATCCAAATTAAATTTGTCATTGCTTAACATGTCATCTACATAATGTAAAAGTATAATCTGAGTGAATCTTGACTAATGAAGATCTGTTTTCCAAGTTGCACACTGCTCAGCAGATTTGGTTTGGTTTTCACGAGTGTCAAGTGTGGACTATTTACTAATAGTGCTAGTAGTTATTTCAGCTATAGTCCAAAGGCTTATTAAGACTGTTTTCTGAGATATCAGTTTAAGTCCTCAATCTCTGGTACTTAGCAAGTAAGATTTACTGAGTAAACACACGTTCATATCATCATAATGCAAGGAGACAAAACTAATCTCTGCCTGCACAATTCTCATGACATGAGCAAGCAAATAACAGATCTCTTTCTCCAGTAAATGGAATCTATCTGAGGTTGCTGAAAAACAACAATATAAATGCAGGACTTGGAACATGGCTGACCTTTGATATTTCCAACACCAGATTTTTACAGAATAAATATTAACTCTCTCTACTGGGCAGCATCTCACTGTGGGGGACTCATCCTAATCTTCTCATCAAGGGAGATGGTTAGCTAGAGTTTGTATTTCTCTGATCCACCCAGTCTAAATGCTACATTTCTAATGTTTGTTAACTTCTCAGTTACCTTTTGTACTTTTAGATATGCGAGTTCTATAAATATATTCTTTCCAATAATTAAGGAGTTTAGAATATACTTGCCACATTAATCTCTCCTAGTTCTAACTTGAAAATGATAAAATAAAATATATGTAGCATCTGGAGTAGTTTCTATTTTGATAGACTTAATTCAGATTAAAGCTATTTTTAAAATCTAACCTACAGAAACCAAAGCAGTATTTTTATTTTCCTTTTGGGTCACACCCGGCGATGCTCAGGTAACTCCTGGCTCTGCACTCAAGAATCACTCCTGGCAGCGCTCGGGGCACCATACGGAATGCTGGGAATCGAACCTGGATCAACCGCGTGCAAGGCAAATGCCCTACCCACTGTGCTATCGCTCGAGCCTCCCAAGGCAGTATTATTAAATCATATAGAGCACAAGAAAGGAAAGTAGTACAACAGTAAGATGTTAAAAAAAAAATCAAACTATGTGCATATGTTTCCAAACCTGGAGTCAACGAGACAATTAGAGAGTAAATTTGAGTGGTGGAACGTCTACACTTGGTGAAATAGAGGCAAAAGTACTAAAACAATAGTTATAATTAAAGAGAAATATGTCAACAGACAATTAAAAGCAGGACCTAAATATCATTGAGAAAAAAAAATTTAATTAGAAAAATAATCTAAGGGTCGGACCAACAGTATCGCAGGAATTTCCCTTGCATAACGCTGAACCAAGTTTGATCCCTGGCAGCCCATATGGTCTCTTGAGCACTGCCAAGAGTAATCTCTGAGTGCAGACCCAGGAGTAAGACCTGAACACCAACGGGTATGGACCAAAACCAACCAAACAGAAAAGAACCTAGCTATAACTAACTTTAAAATAAAAAAATTCAAGGGCTTAAAATCTGGGAGGCAAGGGCCAGCAAGATAATGGACAGAGAGCATGCTCTCATGTGGAAAACCTGGGCTCAGTCCCCACACTGGTGGTTTCCTGAGCGCTATAAAGAGCAGCCCACGCAATACTGGATGTGATCTCACCCCACAAAAAAGATCTTAGTGGGATAGAGAATAAAAATGATTTGATCCAAGAGTTTACTAATGTTCAAACAGAAATCTGCTCAGACATCTCTTTAGCTGGAGACTTTACTGGCTGAAGACAGTAAAGGAAACAGTAGCAATTTTAGAAAGTGAACTCTAGAGCTAGTAGTGTTCAGAAAGGTGACAAAACCACAGCTACCAACTTTAGACAAAGAATATATTTCAAGCTATGAATTTAAATGTTTTGTCTGTTTCCAATTGTCACCAGTTTTAAACATTTTAATTAAAAATTGAATTTTAAAAACATATTTCATTGACGCTTTATAAAACATTTAAATTTTTATATACCGTTGTCAGTTTTGCTAATAAAATTCCTCCAAAAGAAAATCCTGTACAGGTGTCAGAGGGATAGTACATAGTACATGGGTTCAGGTGCTTGCCTTGCATGTCACCAAATCAATTTAATCCCTGGTACCGCATCTGAACACCAATATGAGCCCTAAACATTGCCACAAGTGATCCCTGAGCACAGAGCTAGAAGTAAGCCCATTATGTGTTATCCCAAAACAAAAGTCCTAAGTAAAATGGACACAGAAAAAATTAACTTAGAGATATAGAAAAAATTAAATTAGAGGCTGTGGTTTTGAAAAACTTTTAGAATTATTATATTAACATGCAATTTTAAAGTTTAAATTATGATATAATGAGTTAAAGGATGCTGTGACCTTAAAACTACATACCTACTTTCAATCTTTATTTTCAACTTGTTTCATTCTGTAACTCAAAGTGTCAAAATAGTAAGAAAAGCTATTTATGGCAATTAAGGATAAACAATTTCCAAGCTTAAAAAAGTTAGTTTGGCTTACATCAACAATTTAGATTTTTTACATTCTTAAAAATTACTAGAATCTTCGAGCTTTTATATAGATTATAAATACTGATACTCACTGTATTACAATTCCAAACCAGAACCTCTTAAAATACTAGGTAATTAAAAAATAATAATAATGGATCTAACTTAACATTAGGTTCATATTAACATAATATAATTTATAAAACCTATATTTTCTAAAAAAATTAATAAGAAAATAGTCATTTTACACATTTTCACTATTTTTTAATATGTGACTTTTTAAAAGACAGTTTTTTTCATTCTGGAAAAATTCCATGTTCTTTCTTAAACACGTATCTCTCGCTTTTCCTCCCCTCACATTTCTCTAAATTTCTTTCAGTGAAGCTTATATTGCATCACTAAGAAAAAAGGTATGGTATGTATATCTATGTATTTAATATATTACAATCCACTGTTATACCTAAACTATATAGAGAATTAAGCCTCAGACAGACACAAAGTTTTCAGTTAACTTTGGATAGTCTCCATTAATTTTATGTCAAAACTCAATAGATTATTTTAAAAAATATTTTTGTGCTAAAAATATTTTTGTGCTAAGGATTATATTCACTTAGGACATTACAGATAGCTACCCAAGGACTGAAATTTAATAAAACAATGTTTCCTGTATCATCATGGGACATTTCTTTTTTTTTCTTTTTCTTTTTATTTTTTTAATTTAATTTTTATTAGTGAAACACCATGAGGTAGAAATGGGTATGTCTGGAATTGTTCAGGGTACTCTTAGCTTGATGTTTGGGATTACTTCAGCCAGTGCTGAGGGGGATAGTGAAATGCCAGGAATTGAGCCGAGGGCTCATATATGCCAACCATGCACTCCAGCCTTGTGACTATCTTCAGCCCTCATAACAGACTTATTAAGTGAAACTGGGTTTTTGTTTGTTTATGTTATACTGAATGTGGTGGGGAAGAACCCAATGACAACTAGCATAGTTTGATATCACTACCTTAATTTGTGCTAAGGTCCAGTAATTGCACTGACCTCTGTACTGACTGCAAATATCAACACAGTAGGAAAAAAATAGCAAATACTATTTTGGTACTGAATGAAAACAGTTTTGACATTTTATACTCCCAGGGCTATGAAGGATAGAGAGCCACTGGTTTAGTAAATTCAATTCATGAAATGTAGAAAATTCATGATATAGCAAAAAAATATTTCTTAAAAGGAAGCATCTATTTCTGGAAAAGAGGAAAAATTAAAAGTAATTCATAGTGACTAATTTTGTACCCCTGCTTCCTACAAAGGAGACAGCGAAGAGCAGCATTCTAAAATAACTACATGTGATTTTAAAAATGTAAACAGTCCTCTGAAAGATATTAAATTTGGTGAAGTATTTCATCCCAACAAGGAGAAAATAATATTTTATGTTCCAGAGAGTTAAGAATTCTGCTTGGAATCATACACATTTCAAGAGAATATTTATGCCTTACCTTAGCTCTAGAGGAATTGACATTTTCCATATTCTCAATGCTGCAGATACAATTCTGTGAGACCTTCCGGCAAGCCACTCGGATATAATCCCAGAAGCTACGAGGACTTTCATAACCAAACCAGGTTACTTGACCTTCAGGAGACAAATTGTAATAAAAAAATGAAAGAAAACTAGACTAAAATTTATGAAATAAAATAAAGATAACATGATTTGTTAATAGTAGAAAGGACAGATCTGTGTCAAAATATCTTAAAACCTTATTATACAACTAACTCACTGTATGACTCAGGTAATTTAATGAATCTGGTCATAGTTTTCTCAATAATAAAATTACACTAAATTCAATTTAAATGGGACCAGAAACTAAAATATTTCTAGTAGCCTAAAATCTTATTATTCTAATACTGTCTTTCAAACAGCACACAGAAAACCTTCATGTGGTTCATATTACGGATTGACTTAAAGTTCCTCAGTTGCAGTCTAAAGCTTTCTGCACTTAGAAAACAGAAAAACAAAGGTAAGACAAGAATTTCTTCAACTTCGTAAGGATAATTATAATAAATAAAATGCGTGGCCTATCCCAAAAGTAAATGCAATCAATAAGAATCCTATATTTACTGATAGCTCTTATAAAATATATGTATGTATATATAAATAAATATAGATAAATAAGTTGAATCACCATGAGATACAACATGAGATACACAAGGCTGTTCATGACCCGGTTTCAGTCAAACAATGTTCCAACACCCATTCCTCCACCAGTGTACATTTCCCACCACCAATGTCCCCCTTTTCTCTCCTGCCACAACCCACTCCAACCCCTACCTCCCGGAATCTTTCTCTATGGCAAGCACTCTCTCTCTCTCTCTCTGCATTATGGTTTCAATACAGATACTGAGGGGTTGTCATGTTCGTTCCTTTCCCTACTCTTAAGAGACTCCTTGATAAAGTCATAAAACTACATTATATGATTCATCTATTCTTTTCTAGTCAACAGGCCAAGAAAAGACTGGCAGGCAATTTACCATCCCAGTATTTCAGATGTGGGCAATTGGTTATAGATGTATATGTTCACAAATAAATATTCTTTTCTGTTTTTGATTTTGGGGCTACAGCCAGTGATGCTCAGTACTTGGTGCTCAGGATTTGTTTCCAATGACACTCAAGAGACCATGTAGTGCTAGGGATTGAACTCTGGCCTTCTGCTTGTGAAGTATGCACTCCGGGCCTCTGAGATATCCCTGGCCAGGAAAAAAGAGCTGTTCTGTGTGAGTCTCATATTAGCATTAATATTACGCAAATTTCTGAGTGCCAGGTCCCTCTATGTAACCATATTGAACTCTTAACAATTTTTAAAATTTTATTTAATTTTTTTTATTTTTAGTGAAACACCATGAGGTACAGTTGTAGATTTACAATTTTTTGTGCTTGGGTTTCGATTATACAATGATCAAATACCCATCCCTCCACCAGTGCCCATTTTCCACCACCATGGATAATATCCCTCCCACCCCCATCCCCCACATCCCACCCTGCCTCTGTGGCAGGGCAATCCCTTGTGTTCTCTCTCTCTCCTTTTGAGTGTTGTGTTCTGCAAAAGAGGCTTTGAGTGGCAAACATGTTCAGTCCATAGTCTACTTTCAATATGCATCTCCCATCCTGGAAGGATCCTCCAAAAACCCTTTATTTGGTGCTCCCTTCTCTATCTGAACTGCCCTTTCACCTAGAATGCCTGGCTGGCCTCTAAACTATGGAGTAATCCTCCTGGTGTTGATCTCAGCTATTCTTGGGTATTAATCTCATATTTTGTTTCTTTATATTCCCCAGATGAATGCAATCTTTCTATGTCTATCCCTCTCTTTCTGACTCATTTCGCTTAGCATGATACTTTCCATGTTGTACCACTTGTATATAAATTTCATGACTTCATCTTTTCTAACAGCTACATAGTACTCCATTGTGTAGATGTACCAAAGTTTCTTTAACCAGTCATCTGTTCTTGGGCATTCAGGTTTCTTCCAGTTTCTGGCTATTGTAAAGAGTGCTGCAATGAACAAACAAGTGCAGATATCACTTCGACTATACATTTTTGCCTCTCTGGGATATATTCCCAGGAGTGGTATTGCTGGGTCAAATGGGAGCTCAATTTCTAATTTTTTGAGAATCGTCCATACTGTTTTCCAGAAAGGCTGAACCAGTCGACATTCCCACCAACAGTGAAACAGTGTCCGTTTCTCGCCACATCCGCGCCAGCATCGGTTGCTTTTGTTCTTTTGGATGTGGGCCAGTCTCTGAGGTGTGAGATGGTATCTCATTGTGGTTTTGATCTGCATCTCCCTGATAATTAATGATGTAGAACATTTTCTCATGTGCTTTTTTGCCATTTGGATTTCTTCTTTGAGAAAGTTTCTGTTCATTTCATTGCCCCATTTTTTGATGGGGTTGGATGTTTTCTTCTTGTGGAGTTCAACCAGTATTTTGTATATCCTTGATATCAACCCTTTGTCAGATGTGTGTTCGGCAAATATCCTTTCCCATTCTGTAGACTGTCTGTGTATTTTGGTCACTGTTTCTTTTGAGGTGCAGAAGCTTCGTGAACTCCTAACATTTTAAAGTAGGATTTAAGGGGCATCTCAATATGCTTCAGTTGTCTGGAATGACAGTTTACCTAGGAAAGCTGTTTAATACCAGGAGAAAGATCTGCTTCTATATTTTTTAATCTGTGCTTTCTGCTTTTGAATTGTTTATCTCAACTCTTTCCTGCCCTGAAATAGCTTCTCTCCAGCAACATAAATAGATGCTTTTGTCAGCAAGTGCCAGTTTAAATATTTCAGGAGTTCACAACTACAGCAGCCTATAACAATAACATGGTTACTTTTAAAAAAATAGTCATGCCTGGGCTCCACCTAACCTAAATAATTAGAACCATTAGGGAATGGCTCAGGCATTGGTATTCTTAGAAAAAAAACCCTCATAGTATTTCTAGTTATACACTTATGGTTAATTAATACAAAACTCCCTACATATTATTATTACTATTCGCCCTCAACATTCAGTATATTTTAATGTCCTCTTTTTATAAATCATCAGTGATCTCTAGAGTAGCACCTTGTTTATGTGCTGACATAGATAGCATCCTTTATTTACTCATCATTATCTGTTTACTTGACTGACTCACATTTCAGGTAGCAAGGTACTAAAATAAGAACTGCATCTAATTTAACTCTAACAAGGTTCCAATATTTGCTCACACTGTAGTACTGTCCTCCTGTTTATCATCTGTTTGCTCGAGTGGGCACCAGTAACATCTCACAACAAATTGGGAGACGTGTTGTTACTGTTTTTGGCATATCGAATATGTCATGGATAGCTTGCCAGGCTTTGCCATGCAGGCTAGATACTCTCGGTAGCTTGCCGGGCTCTCTGAGAGGGGCAAAGGAATCAAACTCGAATCGGCTGCATGCAAGGCAAACGCCATACCCGCTGTGCTATGGCTCCAGCCCAATGTTATATAATGATTAATAAATTATTGTGTATCCATGCTCACAGTAGGCAATAAATATTTGTTTAAAAAATGGAAGAAACAGGTCATTCCAACTGAAATGCCTATAAATCTCTGACTTTTCAAAATAAATTTAGTATCTATATATAATAGTTTCAGTAACCGTTGTTGATATATAAGCAAAAACAAAAGCATCTATAAAATCCTCACTTATATATTTATATATTTTCATACCTCTTTATAAATAAAATCATGGTTTCTTCCACTCTGGAAAACTCCACATTCTATCTTTTTTCACTTCTCCCTCCCTCCCTCCCTCCCTGCATCCCTCTCTCCCTCCTTCTCTCTTTTTCTCTCTCCCCCATCCCCTCATAGGGTCTCAAAATTAATACGCCCTACCCGCTGTGCTATCGCTCCAGCCAATTTATTTCAATGGCACTATTTTGCTTCACTAGAAAAATATCAGATCAAACTACCTATAAGTAAGATCTACAGGAATATTCATAATTTCTTCCCTTCCTCTCTGTCTTTCCCATCACTTTACTCTGTTATCACTCTTTTGAGTTAAAAAAAAAAGTTCTGGTACAGTATCTCAATATGCTAATTAAGGGTAATTTTCATGTCATTAATTTGTGAGTCATGTGGAAGAAAGCAGGGTCCTTGGTGATGAAGAATATGAGTTTTTCAATTGGATACAACAAAATTAGGTCACTTTTAATTATATTCTTGAGCAAACTACTTAATTTCTTCTGTAAAGTGACAATAATGGTAGTACCTACCTGATAACACTGTTGTGAGGTTTAGATGGAATAATGTGCATGTAGCAATTAGAAATAGCCTACTATACATATTAACTAGTCTATTTCTACTTGCTGGAGCGATAGCCTTGTATGCAACGGATCCAGGTTCGATTTCTCTGTCCCTCTCATAGAGCCCTATCAAGAGTATCCCGCCTGCACGGCAGAGCCTGGCAAATTCCCTGTGGCATACTCAATATGCCAAAAACAGTAACAACAAGTCTCACAATGGAGGCATTACTGGTGCCCACTTGAGCAAATCAATGAACACCAGGAGGACAGTGCTACAGTGCTATCTCTACTTGTACTGCTATTGCTGTTATTATTATCATACTAACTGTAATTACTACTACTAAGGGTACGAATATAGGAAGAGCTAAGGGACACAAACCCCCTTAGCACCACAAAGAAGGAATGAAATGCAAATTAACTTTTTCTCATAGTTTCTTAGAGTCAAAAAAAAATTCTTTAATTTTTTTTTCTTATTTCAACCTTTCACCTATCAACTACTCTGAATGTACCTTCCCAAAATGTTTATAGTCTCAACTAATCTTCTTTGGCTTTTAGTAATTATATTATTCCATAATTTAGAAAAAAAAAGGTATTGCTGACAAACTTCTCTTAAGAAATACACTACACACTGGCGGGAATCTTAAGAAAAGCAAGCATAAAAGAAATCCCTGGTGGTTTTTATTTCAAATCTTTTCATAAAGTCAAAGAAAATCATTTGAAAGTTAAAAAGAATATTTTCAGAAAACCAAAATAATGTAATAAAACACAGTTCCAGAAGTAAGGAAACAAAGAGGCAGAAAAGCTAAAAATCTAAGTTT